TAACAGAAGCTTTTTAAATCGACTCCTGACCGGTTTTTCAGGACGTATACTCCGCCGTGCAACGTCGCGATTCGCGTACCGTCCTACGATCGCAAAAGTAGCCCGCCGTTGTTTGGAGTCGGATCAGACTCGATTTCAGAAACGACCGAATTCGGGAGAACTCAAAGGAACGCGAATTCGTTCGAGAAATGCGAGAAAATCGCGAGAAGGCAGAGAAAGAGCACCCCGTTTCTCCTATCCGCATTATCACAGAAAGAGTTCCGCGCCGGAGGTACGTTCTCGAAAAACAATGCGATTTTGTTATCAGAGCGTGCCGGGTAGCTTAAAAATACCTGACCCGTAACACGTGGACGCGCTCACGAGAGAGGAAAGCAGGGAGAATGAGAAAGGGAGGGGTGAGAGAGAGAGAGAGAGAGAGAGAGAGAGAGAGAGAGAGAGGAAGAGAGAGAGTGCTTCTCGACGTTTGTTGCAAAATTCGCTGCTGCTCCGGACTCAGCGTCAAAGGAGAAACGAACGGCGATCCGCGAGAACAAACGTTGTTTGCTAGTACAATTTTGAAAATTTTCTCTCTCCTCTCTCTCTTTCTCGAGGAGAAGGACACCCTCGAGGAAAACGCCGATCCTTTACGGTAGCTACAGCAATTACTTCGCGAGCGGGAGACCCCGGCTCTCGTGTTCGTTTATTCGTCGGCTTCATTTAGACCGCGCATGTTTAATGCAAATATAAAATTTCGTACGACGGTCTACAGTAGCTGGAATCTCGAAAATAGAAATTCATTTATTACGGCGACCCTTTGTGGCATGCACTTTCCTCTCTGTCAATCCAGAACTCGCTTCGCCGTTGTAATATCTCAGCTATACTTTGACGCGACGCTTTATCAAATAATTGATCAAGTAAGTAAGCAAAACACTTGACAAACAGAAACAATTTATTCTACATATCATATAATTGCAATAATGTCGTAGCAACATGGAGAGTAAATAGACACCGCATCTATGTATATAAATCGTTTATACACTTTGTTCTTTCCCGTTCTTTCACGATTATATCAGCATCTAAATTTTATTTTATTTTAGTCTGCAAATTTTCTGAATTTCAGGATATTTTTTGTTTTGTTCGAACTTGTACATTCCGTAAAGTTATCCAGGAATTTTAGATTTATTGGGCGGCTTATCTTGTGCACCATTTTGTGCATCCGAAAATTATATTAAAAAAAAATCTTTAAATTATTCTAAAAATTCTAAGTATTCTAAAATATTCTATTATATTGTAGCCGAAAGAGAAAACTGAAATAACACGTTGTTATTTTCTACGGTTTCGTAGAGCTTACAGTAGCCCGTTCCTCTTATCACTTCTCAAATTTCTTTGAAAATACCGTGCTCATTTTCGCTTACATCGATTCATTTAACTTTACTACACTGCCAAATGGCACCAACGAATAAAATTATTAGAACTATCACTGAAATTGAACATCGTCCGGATGCGCACGCAGAAACGAATGTATGAGCAGTTTTTAAATTAGATATCAACGAATAGAGTACATTTTACGTACCTGTTCGCCACAGCGAACTTCGGTCGCCCGCGCGCGTCGTAAATAAATGCATAAACATTGGAATTTTACCGAACAATGAGACAGGGCACGTAGACGACGCGTCCGTGGACGAGAAGAGAAAATAACCAGTCCTCCCATGGTTTTTTCATACCTTCTTAGCCGGTACTATTCCCTCAAATTACCCGTGAGACCAGACGAAAGAGTTTCCTAGCAAGGACAATGCATCCTGCGCGCGTCTCCTCGCGATAACAACTTCAACGGCAAAACAAACCTCATTTGCAATTTTTATTTTCCTCGCAAAACCCGCTCCTTCCCTCTCTGTCTCACTTTCGACGCCTTACACCCCCGCCCCACCCCCCGCCTAGCCGCCTCTTTCCTCGCGCCTCTGTTTCTCTTGGTCCGCGTTTGCCGGTTTCTTTTCCCCAGCGTGGCCCGTTGCAGCCGCGGTTTTTCTTTCATGAATCACCGCGGGTTCCTTTCCCGCCGAGGAAACTTTGAGAACGTTCTTTCCAAGGCTCGCAATAATAATTTAACGCGCGGCTTCCGTATAGTGGCGCTTCGTGTAACTGTAAAGTGAAAAACTGAACAGACGAACGGATTTTGTCCGTCGTGGAGCGGTGATCGATCCGGCAAGGCCACCTTACAAAAGAACACATTGTTTTTGGATCGGCGACCTTTCAAAATTACAAATCCCATAGAAATCGCCGACACAGGTTTCGTCGACGCAGATTTCATCGGCAATCGGGGACCGAAAATAACAATTATTTGAAAAGATCTTGTAAAAAAATCAGTAACGGGACATAAAAATAAAAGATCAAAAAATCATCCGAACTGACGCTCAGATTGTGCACAAAAATGGACAATTTGGGAAGTGGAGATACGATTATCCATGTCTTGCATCTCGATTTTATAGTTGTTGACAATTCGTAACTATAACAACGAATCGCAAGGCTCGAATAATCGTATGTCCTCTTCCCAAATTGTCCATTTTTGTGGATAATCTGAGCGTCAATTAGAGAGACATTACTGTACTGCACTTACTCTTCCTCCGCACTCACAGCTACTTCCACTTTTGCCACTTTCTGCACACACCTACTAGAACAGACTGTCTCTATTCCTGCACTTCTTATACACGAAGTGTCGATAATAAAATTTCTGGATCGAACGAGAGTCGATGCAAACATTTGTCAGCGATTTCAATATGTCGGTATGCCGGAGAAATACGCTGTCGCCGAAATCGAGTCGATAAAACCGTTGTCGGTGAAATAATTGTTGCTGATTTCAAGGTTATTTTCGAACCAATGGACTAGTATTCTGTTGTCTTCGCGTACGCAGACGAAGCCTTAAATTATTTGTTAGGTACTTTCTTATTTGTGGTCACAGGTTTACGAACTACAACTTTCATAGATCGCCGTTTCAGAAGCAGGGTATCCTTACGCAAGTTCCGCTTACGAGAAAATGGGCTTTGAAGCGTCGGCATAAGCCGGGACGATAGTGGATCAAAAGCGAAGGCTGGTTTCGTGCCGCATCGAAGCGGCTCGTAAGCTCGCCGAATCGCGTAAACGGCCGCAACCTCGTCGAAGGAACGCGAAACCCGGCACCGTCCGCGCGGCGCGCTCCATAAATGATCCAAAAACGCGGAGAAAGAACGTTCTCGACGGTCCTAGTTCTAATACAGGCTCGCTCCCCGCCTGGGCCAGTCCATTTTCTTCCTCGTGGCCGGGAAACCGCTCGGAAATTCCCCGACGAGGAGGATATAGGACGTCGTCGACGCGGAGGACGACGACAATGCGCCGTCACGGGCCGCCTGCGGGTCCTCTTTTTTTATTCATACGTCCCTGGCTCGAGAGTTTATCCACCCGTGATGGTCCTCTCGCGAACGCGCCAACACACGTGTACACGCTCGCTCGCACACATGCATGCAACGAAGCTACCGGGGATGCAAGAGCATCCGCAGGCACGCGCGCGCGCGCGCGGGAACGAGCACGGGCACGCGAGCGAGCGAGCGAGCGAACGGAAGGAAGAGTTGGCTGACAGCAGGAGGGAGAAGCGAGAATGCTAAACCAAATTTACTTTTCTACACGGCCCCTGTGTATCTACTCCAATTTGCGCCGCCTTCGACCGCCCGAAAAAAGGTCTCCGGCTGTAATTTGTTCTTTTCCATCGCCGTCGCGCGAAAAGGAGGTCGAGCAGACGAAATTTCCAGCAGAGTCCTTTCGCCGCCGCGTTATACGCTCCGCGCGAACAATGCCTCGCGCCGGTCGTGGACCTGACGACCGACGTGATGAGCGGCTTCGAGACAGCGCTTGAAACGGTTTTGAATATCACTGTTATTAATACCGGTGAATTTTTAGATTCATTTGAGACCCGCTGCTAATATCCGTTTTTTTTAACGCAAGGTACTATTGCGTCACCCTCAATTACGATTTTGTGGAAAAATTAGAGATATATGATTGCGCGCTTAGCTACTCTACAGGGTGTTCCAAAATTATTGTACAAGCGGGGAATAAGGGGTTCCTGAGGTCGTTTCGAGTAACTTTTTCTTCAGCGAAAATGCAGTCCGCGGCTTCGTTTACGAGTTATTAACGAAAAACTGTGACCAATGAGCGGCGAGATTAACTGGCGGCGAGGCGGCCGAGCCAATGAGCGGAACTGGGCTTCGACCGCTCATTGGCTTGGCTGCTTCGCAAGCCCAATTCCGCTCATTGGCTCGGCCGCCTCGCGCCAGCTGATCTCGTCTCTCATTGGGGGAGAGGGAACTGCGATAAAAGCGGTATTTATTTCCTATACACGCGTCGACGTATTCGTCCGATGTATGCGTCTAACGATCGCCTGCCTCGGAAACGGTCTGGACGGAAATGTATTGTGGTTGATTTTAGCGTTAACGTATACAATTATTCCAAGAATTTGTACAATAAGAGTTAAGATAAAATTGACTCGTTCTTTACTAAATGTAAAAAAACTGCTAACATATCTCCTCATTATGTGGTAGATGTTCTCTTATTATATAATGCTATTATACAATAACTCTCTTCATCTCGCTTTTTGTACATTTCTTTGACATTCTTTCTTTTTCGTTTGTCAAAGTTTAACAAACGCTTGACAACAATTTCTTCACCATTTTCTTCTTTCAAAAAGTTACTTCACCTCCCCTGTGTGTTAGATGTAGTCTAGTAATTTGATTTGACGTAATTGATCACTATAAAGTGATATATAATTGCACAAAGTTGGACAGTTTGTTAGACTATTTGTAACGCTAAAATAAACAATCTGGATAGAGTCAACGGAAAATTATGTTTATAATATAATTTAAAATGAATATTTAGGAATTCGTACTCCAAAATCTATTGTATTCGATCGAAGTTCCGCTTATGGTCGCGCCAGTACGAGAAATCGCGGCGCAAAGAAGTTGGCCGTTTAGCGGATTAGGAAACGTAGGGAAACTTACGTGAAGATCACGTGCAGAATGTCACCGATGAGCCCGTTATGTCTCAGGGAATGCTCCGAAGTTTCGCAAATTGCCCTCAGCAGACACTCGTGACCCTGATACCCGTAGCTGCGCAGAAACCGGAGAAGCAAAGCGAAAAATAAAATAAGACCGTCTCTGACCCACTGCGACTTCTAGGTCAGTGTCTGTAAGTGTGTCTATACGTTTCTGTACGCGTAACAGTTTCGTTCGTCCGCCCGTTTCCGCGAGAACGTGAAGCGAACGTGGCCGCCAGCTTAAACAACGAGCGACCATCGGTCTTTACCGGTAAAAAAAAAATCGGTTGTTAAAGACTAAATGGAAAATATAGAATTTACAGTGCTGGAAAAAGAAATGTAATACTCGACGTATTCCGTAATTGTTTATATTTGAATGTAGAGAAACGTTATTCAAAGAAACACAGTTATTGCAACGATAGAAAATTATTAATTTTTGTATTTTTTAAATAAATCTGGATGTAGGATCAGATTTTAGAACTTGTCCGTATTTCAATGTCCTCTTGTATTAGACCGTGTAATCCAACCTAATCTGACTTTGCGAAAACAATATTATGAGAAAAGAAAAACAGATCGGAAACGTTATTACTAGAAGCACAGTAATTTCAGGAGATGCCTATAAGGTGAAAATAGGGGGCACGGAAATTCTACGAAAGTAGTAATAAAAGCTAATTTAAGAACTATATATCGATTTTTACAAAAAGAGCGAGTATGTTGAACACAAAAATTAAATCGATTGCCTTCCTTAACCGAGAGCCATAAAACAGCACGATTAAGATTAACTTGCGAATATGTCCATTGGATGAAAAATTTGAAGTCATTTTTAATGACGAAAAAACATTCAACTCGAATAATCCTGATGGATGACGTTATTACTTCCACCGTCTGAGAAGTTGATTAGCACTTCTTTGTCACGAATATAATCGTATACGAGAAAGAAATTTTATATTTATTGTATGCCAGCCTTTACCTTAACGTTTAAATATCGATGACTGAAGATCGAATTTTATTTCGATTTATAATAAAAGAAGAACGTAACATCCAGATTTAATAGATTATGTTCGAAATCTTCGTAATCAGTCTAACGCGATGTGGAAACGATTGGTAAATGTAATACAAGTTAAAACAGACATATACCGAAATATTAAGTTGATATTTAACATCGCGTTTCATCAAAATAAAGGGTAATTTCCATTCATAGTTTTATATTTTTGTCCAGACAGTGCTATTTCATATTTTCTTTTCCTTCTCATCGCATTGTCCAACAGATTGTACGATGTATTGTATAGCACATTGGCTTAATATTTTCTGTATTCACTCTACATTGAAATATAAACAATTACGCGATATGTCCTTTATACATTACTGTGGGAACGAAGGACAAGGTATATCAGCCGCGAATTCACCTGATAAACTTATTTTCCACGAGCTGGTAGACCGTGGCTCTGTCCAGGTTTCTGCTCACACTTCTCCTCTTTCTCGCCAGTTCGGTCTGCGTCCAAAAATACTCGTCGGTTACGTTTGTTGGTAGATTGTAGGTGGCTTCGAAAAAGTTTGCGATGGAGATCGATTTGTACGGATCCTCCAGAGGCACCGCCAATGCCAGGAACAACTGAAATAAACATACGTCGACTTATTTTCAGAAACTTCTTTGCAAATCGTTTCGCTGTCCCATGCATTTTCAAAATTACGTTTAGGAGCAAATTCACGTTCGAATATATTGTTATGCTGTGTCCTGTCTTATAGCTGAAGTCAGAGCCTGCTTTTATGTATTTGAAAATCCACAATGATATCTTATTGTTCAGAGTTTTATATTTAAGATTAAAGTGTTATAGTATCGCACGCTATTCTCAGAGTGAACTAAATACACTCCAAATGTGTAAGAAAATAAATAAAATATTTGAAAGTACATATAATACAAACTATATGTGTATAAAAATATGTCAAATGAAATTATATAATAAAAATGGTTCGAAGAATTATTTAAACGTTTATTAAAATCGAGAAATAATTTTATACGTGTATTAGACAACTACGATAGAAGTGAACAGTACTTAAAAATAAATACTAATAATATAATTAATGCCTCTCTGATCTCTTATCAAATATAACGCTATAGATATAATGCATCGTATACCGTTATATGGAACATCGAGAAAAGTTTAACGAGCATAATAATGCTTTAAAAAAATTTATTAATATCTGAAACTTCATTCCATACGGATTATTGAACCCTCCTCATGAATTTCATTTGAGATATTTTCGAAATAGATTAATTTTATATCAACTGGAAATTTAAACATTTCCCACGTCCCAATCTATCAACGTAAAAATTGGTAACATTCAAGTAAAACCGTTCGTATCGCAAATATCCTGGCATTCAATCATATCCTGGCATTCATGCAGTATTGGGTATCAATATTTATAAACATATATTAAAATTCATTTTAAATAGCTGTATCTCATTAATATGATGTGCAGTGCGCACCGTCGCTTTATCCTCGGCCGTATTGCGATCATGGTCGTTACGATATCCGTTTTTGTTTCATCGTACGCATACATTTTTAGTGAAATGTATAATTTGAATCGTGAACCAATAATTCATTTCTTCCACCGATGATTCATATTGTTTGAAATTTTCATCACGGCACTGACTCGTTATTATACAGGGGTTAATTAAATTGTTACGTACTTATGGAAATTGATTAAATTGGATAATATGCAAATTGAAGCCAGCCGTTTCTATTGTCTTAAAAAGTAATGTCTCTTCACCCAGCAAATGCAGTCTCCAATCCTGTTATTTGTGCAAATACTGATCTTGTAGCTGCAGTAGTTTTAAATATAGCAGTTTGATGTAGTAGATCTACGATAGTAATTACAAGTATAATTTCAAATGATGTCACTTATCGATAAGATATCGATAACTTATCCATAAGCACGCCTCTGTTTCAATAATAAATCGTCATTGCACTCCATGGCAGACCTAGCCACATTTGAAATGACATTATTAGAAATACTATCTTAAATAACATGTTACTTTATTATATATATTAATAATATGTCATTTTATTTTCTAGTTGTTTGAAATAATTATTTGGGATAACTCTCTCTTTATAATGATATAACTCTTCAAACGTTATGGTAAAGAGGGGTGTTATTCTGTAGAAAGAATGTTTCTTATCATGTTTTAAAAATCTTTCTTGAAAGATTTGAAGTGAACTGAGATAAGTA